TGCATACCAGGCGTTGGAGCCATCCGAATGCCACTTCGAAGTCTAGGGGTGCCCCGCTCGATTGAGCTGTTTCCAGCAATTCATACAGCTTGGTGACTGGGCCCAGAGTGTCGAGGAACTTGTCAAGACAATTGCGCAGCGAGTAGTCTAGGCCCTTTTTGGGTTTCCAACAAGTCTTGGCCAGGAACTGCACAATTTGAGGGTCAACTTCAGGGGTTTTTGCCACTGCATCGGGTATGATAGGGCGGGGGCATTCCGCCCTCAGTTTGTTACGATCCTCTTGTGAGAGGGATTTACGGACTCTGAGGGCCAGGTATTGAGCTATGTGCTCAGCGGGCTCCCATTCAGCGGAGCGGGGGTGTCTAAGATTATCTGGGTCAAATGCCAGGGTATCCTTAGCATCACGGGTTGGCTCTGTCTCATGGGCCCCTGACTGTGCTTTGGTCTGGGCCGGTCTGGAAGGGAATTGTGTTCCCGGGAGATCCTCGTCTCCTGAGGTCTCATCCCCGTAGGGATCTGAGAACTGGTCATCTGACCCTTCCTCCCCATCCTCGTCTGAATCAGACAATAAATCATGGGCCCGTGCCCGTTTCCACTCTCTGGCCGCCGTAGCCCGGCCAGTAGCTCTATTGCGCGGTTGTTGCGCGCCATCATCGTCAGCCTGAGGCGTGTCAATAAAACCAGGCTTTACCTGGGCATGGGGGGGGGTCAGTAGTGTGTTTGCGCTTGCTAAGCGCCTTACGTCCTGCGGTAGTCCCTTCAGGGGAAATGGGAGACAGTCCTGGCCCAGATTGGACAGGGAGGGCCTGCCTAAGGGCCTGGGAGATACTGGAGGACATAGCTCCCATGGCAGAGGAGATGGCCTTGCTAATGGAGTTGGACATAGTGGCGTCCAGGAGGCTTTGGAACTCCTCAGAGCCTATGAGGCTAGGGTCAGCCTGGGAATCAGAGCCTGTAGTGCCCCTAGGGGGAATTGGGAGGTCAGCTAAATCACCACTGGCAGACTGCATGATGGCAGAGAAAAGACTATATAAAAGTATAGAGCAAGAGAGGTAAGGTGCAGGATTGCTTAATCCAAGCACAGAACAGAGCAGGAGAGAGAAATATGTGTGGATGGCAGGAGCAGAGAGCATGCAGCCTCCACGGAACAACGAAATCCGCCAAGTAAGGTGATTTAAAATGGCCGCCGGCACGTCCGGCGACAAGAAACCAACAAAATGGCCGCCGCGCGTGATCCGCGCATGCGCAGAGCGCGTGGCAGAAACAGAGTTGGAAATACCCACTGGGGTGTGCCACCGGCGGGGGTCTATGGGGGCCAAAAAACGGCCAGGGGGGGTGGGGAGAACACGGGGGGGACCTGGTTAACCCAGGGACCCAGTCAAACAAGGTACAGGGGCCAGTCAGCCCAAAAGGGAATAGAGAGGGTCCTGAACCCACCCCAGTAAAGGAATAAAGTATAGGAGGAATGAAAGCCAAGTATAAAGAAACATAAACAAGCCCTGAAACACAGGGATAGTCAAAGTAAATACAAATGACAGATAATTCTCAAGTAAGGTAATAAAGGTACTTAGCTGGTCTGAGGGAGCAGCGAAGAAAGAGGAAGAGAGTGCTGCACCTTATATACTGAAAGGGGGAGGTTCCCTTGTGTAGCACTGTTGAATATGTATATATGTTAATGATATGCTATTTTTCTCTTTTATACTCATTTCTCTCTTCGCTGCTGAGGGAAAATTAAAGAAAGAGAAGCATAATAGGAGCCTCCGTGTCTTTAATAAAATCTAAATTTTATTAACGACAGGAGGCGAATATTTGCTTATCTTTCTTTACTGAACCTCCCAGCAGCAAAGAAATAGTTAACAATAGTGTAAAAACAATTCAACCAATCAGAGTGTATTACAGTATTATATGATGTCATCAAACTCCTCCCAAGTCCTCTTTCTTGCTGTAGCCCGACGATATCCGAGTATCAACCATGTAAACTATAACTATGAACCGTGACCAATCCAAGGTCCTGATGTAGTCAACCATGTAAACTTTCAAAGGGATTGATGAATCCATATATCACAAGCGTTGGGATTCTGCACACTAAAGGGAAGTAGAGAAAAAAACCATGAGAGTATAGGTTCTCATTCTAGTTGAATGCAAGTTTATGGCATGCATACTAGGGACAGCAATTTCAATAGATTTCATGTAAAATGATGTTGAGTATGTCAAATTCTTGGTTAGAGTGTTGTGGTGTAAACCTATGACAGATGATGTGTGAATGTGTTTGAAACAGATCAACTAGAAAAAATTTTTTTAGTAACTTACCTTAGGGCGGGTATAAATGATAATGAAAAACAAAGAAGGGAGGGAAAATATTTGCCTCCTGTCGTTAATAAAATTTAGATTATTCAGTTACTAGGGCTAGAATAATCCCTAATTTTATGGCAAGACAGGAGGCTTCATATTTGCTGTTTTAATGCTCTTTTATGATAGAAGATGCAGCATGTGGCATAGGTTTG